CCGGGGAGTTCTGGTAACTCCCCGGTACTCCAAAAAATGCCCGAACCTATTCGAAACAATTTCGGTGTCCAAACATAACCTTCCAATATATCAATTTTATGTCTCGGTCATTTCGAGACTCCTCGTCATGTCTGTGGTCTCATCCGGGACTCCGAACAAACTTCAGTTCATCAAAACACGAAACTCATAATACAAATTATCATCAAACATTAAGCGTGCGGACCCTACGGGTTCGAGAACTATGTAGACATGACCGGGACATATCTCCGATCAATAACCAATAGCGGAACCTGGATGCTCATATTGGTTCCTACATGTTCTATGAAGATCTTTATCGGTTAAACCGCATAACAACATACATTGTTCCCTTTGTCATCGGTATGTTACTTGCCCGAGATTCGATCGTCGGTATCATCATACCTAGTTCAATCTCGTCACCGGCAAGTCTTTTTACTCGTTCCATAATGCATCATCCCGTGGCTAACTCATTAGACACATTGCTGGCAAGGATCATAGTGATGTGCATTACCGAGAGGGCCCAGAGATACCTCTCCGATACACGGAGTGACAAATCCTAATCTTGATCTATGCCAACTCAACAAACACCATCGGAGACACCTGTAGATCACCTTTATAATCACCCAGTTACATTGCGACGTTTGATAGCACACAAGGTGTTCCTCCGGTATTCGGGAGTTGCATAATCTCATAGTCTGAGGAACATGTATAAGTCATGAAGAAAGCAATAGCAGAAAAACTAAACGATCATTATGCTAAGCTAACGGATGGGTCTTGTCCATCACATCATTCTCTAATGATGTGATCCCGTTCATCAAATGATAACACATGTCTATGGCTAGGAAACTTAACCATCTTTGATTAACGAGCTAGTCAAGTAGAGGCATACTAGGGACACTCTGTTTGTCTATGTATCCACACATGTACTAAGTTTCCGATTAATACAATTCTAGCATGAATAATAGACATTTATCATGATATAGGAAATATAAATAACAACTTTATTATTGCCTCTAGGGCATATTTCTTTCAGAGCGGCGGCTCCGAACATGGCAGTGATGGAACCCCCTCCGTCGGGATGATGGGTATGGAGGCGGCTCCTTGTGGTGGCGCCTAGGAGCGATGCACGGGATCCTGAGCTCAGGTTCGTCGCAGGAGGTCCTCGTGGCAACGATCTGGTGGCGGAGGTGCGTGGATTTGGGGGATCTTTCAGAAACCCTAGGTCGTGGCATCACCGCTGCTCTTCGGTTGCCGCCGGGAGATCGTGGCGCCGGTTGTCGTGACCATTCTAGCCATGGCTTGGCACGAGTTGGAGCGGCGAGGTAGGAGCGATTGGTGCGTTCACATAGGTGCCGTCGTGGTTGCCTTCTCCTCTGTTGTTCTGACTGGCGGCATGGGGGCTGTTGGTTTTGCTTCAATAATGGAGGTGGTCCTAGATTTCTTCTAATGCCAAGACGGTGTTCTTCTTGATGTCGACCCTCATTGATCTGGTCGTTAACGAGTTCTGGAAGGCTCCACTTGAGATCTCCTTTGGGTGCCGCTTGTAGATTGCTGGACCGAATGGGACTCGGTCTTGTGCGCCCCTATTTCAGCCCGTGTGGCTTTAGGAAGGCATGATGTGAAGCTTCATTGTCTATTAACATTATGGGACATGCCGATGTTTCAATTTCCAATGTGAAGACAATGGCGGAGAAGGTCATGGAATAAGGTCTGAGGCCTAGTAATGGTGGATCTAATCTTCCAGGTGATGATGAGTTTGCTTGGTGTTTCGTGACTTGTAGCAGCGGCATCAGCAAAGTGGGGGCGGCAGCACAGGAGTATGGAGTCTTAGCTTTGAGGTGAAAACCCAAGGTTTGGTCTTAATTGGTTGTGCTTCGCACTAGACTTGTTGAAGGCATTGTTTTTTAGAGCACGGATTTTCTTCATGGTGAAAATCTAAGATATATGATCAGGCGACGACGACACTTGTGAACCTCCTCCATCCTCTCTCTCCCCTTGTCACCCCCATAGGAGGCCGTCGGGAAATCCCGCGCGCCACC